GGATATCACAATGGATGAATGGACTTATAAACTATTGTCCATTAAAGATAATAATTGTTGTCGACAACATTTTTGTATGAAATACCAAGTTATTTCATTATTAAAACTGATTTAAAAATTCATAAAAAAAGTGTACAATAAACCAAAAAAGATTTCTTAACAAAAACTTCAATATATTCCTCCCATTGAAACTTTTAATTCCCATCGATAAGTAATTGTAAAAAATGATTCTTTTGAAAATAAGCCCGAGGCGCTCGTTGCCGTTCGCCCTTTGAGTACTTGAGAGTGTGGCGACAGGCCATTCTTTAATGATTATTTCTGCAGCCCCATTTCACTTATCGATAATCGCCCTATTGTGCCCGATAGGCAGCGCGACTCCTTGTGGAATTGAGCAATTGCATGGAAACGCAATTATTCGGTGTATTCACTTTGAGAAATTCCCGCGCTCCGCCTGTCTGGACTACCAATCTGCCAATCTCCCACTACCAATTCCAATCATAATTATTATTGATCGTATTTCAATTTATTGGTACGCGCTTTTCCATCCACTGGCGTCCAAGCTGGCAATATTGTCAACGCATCGCGTTTGTATTGTTGATGATTTTTCAAATGCGCTTAATGACATCGCGACTGATTCTCCTGCTTCACTTCACTTTTTCTGACTCCCATTTTCCGCTGCTTTTTCCTCGTACCTCATATCATCTTTCCAGGACACTGAAAGAAATGGTAAACATTACTAAAAATAGTAAAAATCACTTTCAATTCCACATTTTCATACATAATTTCTTTCTTAATAATCAAGCAGAGAGGCTTAAACTTAAAATGACCTTTAATTGCTATATTCAGTTTTCTCCTGTGCACCTTATTTGGGTTTTAAATGGTCGGTGGGTGATTGAAGCTCCTCTTAATGCATATGAAATGGTAATTACGCATACGCCGCGTTGTTCCAGCGGAAGTCGAGAAGTCACCGGGGAATGAAATCGAAGTGCCAGCGCCACTTATTGGCGCTCATTTATCTTATTAATAGCACCAAGCTGTTGGCACGATTTATCAAGCGGCTAAAAAACTCGAAATTACTTAGCATTGTATTGCCAGCCAGTGCTGCTTTTGTCATTTCTATAATCGACTTGAAGCCGTTGACTTGGCCCAAAAAGTCCTTCAAGTCCTGAAGGAGCATCTAGTTTTGACAGCCGCCTTGGTCTTCGAGTCTAGACAATGTAATTGTCGACAGCAGCAAATCGAGTGTCCATTTTCAGGGGGAGGAATGGAATATTTCTGAACCTACTAATAGCTGTTGTGGCAGTAAATCAACTGGGTTCATATAAATCACCGAAGACCAAGTCGTTCCCCGACTCATATGTTGCGGCTTTTAAATCACAAGGTGTCAGGTTGAAAAAAAGAAAGCCCCCTCAGTCTATTTTTGACGAGGGTAAAAGTAAAAGTAGAACTATTTGTGTGGCAAACAAATAGGGGGGGAAGAAAAGGGGAAAATCGGAATGTTGAGCTAACCAGGACACAGGTCGCCTTCTCGTTGGTTTGTTTATTTATTTATTTCAAGAGTCCGACCAGTCGGCCGACCACTTGTCACCGCCAACAGACGCAACTTGATTTATAAACATTTACATATCACAGGACTCCTCCATTTTTATAGTCCTGTTTTCCTTTTTCCATTCGCTTTATTGTTGCCCAATTAGGCGCAGCCATAAATTCAGGCAGGATTCTGGCGGGGACAAAAAAAAACGGGAAAAAGGGAAAGGAAAACTAACTTCTGCAGTGCCGTTAATTAAAAAGTTTTTTAACAAGTTAATTGAAATAGATCTCGATTGGAGTTTTTATTGATATTTGGCTGACGTTTGGCATTTGCCGCTGCGAAACGAAACGAAACGGAACGGAGCGAAACTAAATAATTAGTTTGCTGGCCTCTTTTGGGGCAAACTTTTTGGTGGCACTTGAAGCTCGAAGTTGGTAGAAGTGGAGCGTCGTTTTGGCCAAGACGCCAAGCTGTTTGCCAACAACTCGAGCACGAGCCACTCCGCTCACTTCGCTCGCTCGTCGTTGGCGGAAAACTTAACACATTATGAGTCCTGGGCTTTGACTTTCTCCTTTTCCATTTTCCCCTTTTTAGCAAAAAAAATAAACGAAACCAAATACAAAATCCAAAACAAAACCAATGCATTTGACATTTACGCTGGAGCAACAGCTGCTACATAAATTAAAAAATGTTTCTACCAGGCCCAAAGCCAATACAAATAAAAGAGCAATAACAACCGTGACAGGAGCAACTTGTATTGAGGGGACCTCTGGCCTCCACCTCCTCCTCATCCTCCTTGGAAACCCCCCGGGGAGCCGAGCATAAATAATATGTACAAAAGAAAGTTTTTGTCAAAGCGCCCCAAGTGGCACTCGCAGCTCACCCTTTTTCCAGATAAGTCTGGCGAACGCGAGATTGGGGCAGCCAGTCAGGAAATCAATAATGATTGGGCCTAGCCATCGGCTGTGAAAGTGGATGCAGTCGACCTGGGTTATCCTGCTGACTGGTTAATGCTCTTTAAGTTTGGGAAATATCTTGCAGATTACTAGGGAATATTAGAGTAAACTCCCATTAAGGTAAATCCCATTTAATGCTAAAGTCTACTTAGCAACAAGGTGTCTGCTATTAAGGATTCCTAATTGTGTTTCCAAAGTTTAAGCTTAAATGAATTCCAACCTGAAATCCTTTTTATTTTATGCTGACCAATTCGAAGAAGCCCAAATACCAACTTTATAAGCTCAAAAAAACGCTTTTGCACGTCTTTGAAATTCCACAACGTGTACTTCCCAAGAAGTGGATCCTTTCACACCGAATCTGTCACCCGACGGATGCGATACATTCGCCCCTCCGAAGATGAAATGACAACCTGGGCGGACAATATGTCCAGGAGTCATTAAAAAGTTGCCACAATCCCCGCGGTGAGGGTAAAATTAAGCGAGCCATTTGAATGGCAACCATGGCGACAACGACGAGAGCCAAAGACTTGGACGGTCATCAAAGCAAAGTGTTTTTCAACTTTTCTTTTCTCTGCGTTCTTTTTCCCTGCTCCTGATGCTGGTTTTCCCTGTATTTTCTTTTTCATTTTCATTTTTCTTTTTTGCATTGTTCTGAAACTTTGAGCAGCTGCTCCTGCGGCGCTTGTTATTGTTGTTATTTACTATTAAAGTTGGCAGGATCGTAAACAGCCTGTGGCCAAAAAGGGGCAAAAAGGCGGCTATAGTTGCCCCTTTTGAAACGGCTTTGGTGATTGGCAATTGGCAATTGGCTATTGGCCTTGCCCAGATGCAATTTTTCGCAATTTCCGGCTCCATGTGGGCTTAGCTTTATTACCAATTAAAGTTATTCAATTGCCGCGCAAAAGTTAAAAGGCTGCACTAATTTCATTTCCCATAGAAATACCCAAAAATAGCCCAGTAAATACGCAATGGCCATACATATCTATTTTATGCTGCCGTTTATTGTTTTCGCCCAGAGATAGCAAGAACAACGACGGCTGCTGGTTTTGGGCTTTTGCATGTTTAATGCATCTAATCAACATTAAGCCATGTTTTGGCAGGGAATGTGGTTGCCCATTTCCACCCAACGCTCCCCCCATTGTATTCCTGGGTCAACCGCTGCCCGTTGCCCCACAAAGAGATACAAAATTCAGTTGCAGATACATCTGTGTCCTGGTTGTTGTTGTCGCTGTTGCTGTCACATTTACATAATTTCATTTGCAACACATGCTGGGCATTTTCACCACCATCACTCTCCCCCAACATCGTGTTTTCGGCTGGCGGCAAATTATTACACGCTTTTATTAACAAAAATTATGCTCGACTGTTGATTTGCAGCGTCATCGGAGTGGTCGTAGCTCCACTCCTTCTCCCCATGAATATTCATCACAAAATATATTGAGGGGCCTATAAATAGATGCATTCTGGCAGCAGGATTCTGGAGGAGGATTCAGAAGGTGGTCGCAGGATCAAGGAGCAACGGCCGCAGGCTCTTTCATTAATTAAGTTCAGATTTTTTCTCCTTTTTCGCTTTGGTTACATGGTCAGAGTGCGTAGTCAAAGGTCAGTGGCGGGGAAAATATGAATTGAGGGGATACATTACTAAAAAGAGAAGACTCTAAAGATCACCTTAAGGCTGTAAGTTATATATAAAGTTATATAAAGAGAGAGGATATATATACCCGATTGAAGAAATCCTGACCCCTTTTGCTTCTGCCTCTGACCCAAAAAGAGATAGCCACGATGACGATGGCGATGACAGCGATACACGAGCCACTCAATCTTGTTGAGTAAGCGCCACTAATTTGTTTTTAAGGTCAGTATGGTCAGTACAACCACCCCGTCCACCCACCACCCACCGACCGCCACCACTTTGCATACTATATTGACCGCATCGACAGTATATGTATGTGTCTGTGTGTGTGTTTCAGCCAGGAGAACAACCACAAATACGCTTTTAAGAGGCATTTTACAGGACGGAGTCACCTGCGACCTAGTGCAGCATTTATCCCTTAGTCTTGCTCTTACAATTTGGCTATTAAAAATCATTAGCAGCCAGGAATTTCCAACCCCTCGGGCTAACATTTTGAGGTGTGTGCCCCCTCTTTCGAAAGGAGAATCTCTATAGCTGCTGCATGCAACATTGTGGCAGCTGCATACTTTGTGGCACTCTGGGCCAGGCATTTTCATTAAAACGCCAAAGGCGAAAATACCAAAAACTGGAAACAAAGATCTTAACAAACTGGTAATAAGAAATTCATTTTTTAGCCTTAAGCGTTGGGGAATTTTAAGTGTCACAAAAACTTTAGTTAAGGTATTTATTTTTGCTTGTTTTGTTTTTAGAATTTAAAGAGAACAGTGTTTAGATGATTTGCTGATGAACTGCAATTTCTCATATATATTATATCACAGAAAAAGTAATCCATGAGTTTATTAACACTTTCTAGTACTTACTCATCTTCACATCTCAAACACATTTCACAGGTTACACAGGTTTAAACTAAAAATGGGTTGTTATGTACCAGAACTGCCCCAATTCGGAAGTGGCACCGAGGTGACCCACTGCAGCATTTCCGCACTAGATGACATCCCGCTCCACGAAGAGGGCTCTTCGGACTTGGAACTCTCAAAAGCATTTGATAGGCTGGAGAAGATGAAGCAGCGGGCTTTATACTTAAAAGGCCGCTTAATACGCCCATTGACAGAAAAAGGATCCGAATGCTCTACAGAAAGCAATCAAATCCCGATGGATACCAAATCTGATAACAATACCAAATCGGGTAATGCCGAGCTGAGGGTCGTGCAAGAGGACACCGCTAGAGCTTACCAGCAGATCAGCTACATCACTAGCCAACTCAAGGAGACCAAGGGCTCCCTATCCATTTTGGATCGCAAGGTCCGGAGTAACATTCGATGCACCAAGCAGTTGCAGAAGAGGCTGTCCGAGGTGCCCAAGTGGCAGGAGGAACTGAGACACCACACGGGATTGTGCATTGAGCGGTTCAACGACCTAGATATTTGCAAGGGCAACTACCTGGAGTACAGCGACAACTTCGTGCGGCCCAGCCAGAACAACATGAAGTGCAGTTTCAACTCCAAGGTAGGTTTTTTGTTTTAGAAAAATATATCATTTTTAGAAACTTATGTATAATTCCACTCCGCTCCAAGGTACCCAATGTATGCTATAAGCAAGATTACTGCGACTTCAATAACCTCTTGAATAGAACTCGGAAGTTGATGCTGAAGTGCTGTGAACAGTTGAAGGACTACACCGAAGTCCTAGACAAAGTCGTTAACTCGCAAAAGGACAAAGCCCCGTTGCTGCCATCGATCTCAGAGATATCGCTGCTCCTGGAGCAGAACAGCCAGGTGACCAAGCCAAGGAGATCCAGTGTCAAGATGCGGCGATCCTTTAAGTTCGCCTGGGCAGCTCCTATGCCCAAGCAGCCGAAGCATTGGCTCCACATCGATCGTTCAGAGAGAGATTATTAGAAATCGCAGCTGACCGCAAAAATTTCAGACTCGTAATTTGAAGTGCAATCCAATTCCGGAGTTTTTTTTTTTGGCAAATATTCCGCATAATGAATATGCATACGGACATGGGACACACAATGGCCAGGCTAATTGTGCAAAAATGTTTTAGCAAATATTTTGTTAACAAATTTTGCGGCCATTTAAGCCACAGAAATGCAATTAGCCGTGAACGTAATTAACCAAACAAAATGTGAATGCGAGTGCAGTGCCGGCCACTCTGACCGGAATTAAAAATGAAAAGAAAATAAAATTAGGAAAACCACCTAGCGGATGTGCACAAAATTTAAATTTGAATTTATTTTCGTAGAATATTATAACGCAGTCGACAGGGGTTGCGAGCCGGGGGTAAATTGATGGCCGGAATGTCTTTGACACCTCGGCGGAGCTTCAGTTCAGGTTGACAAGGGTTCAGAACGCGCTGGCCTTGGGAATTTCACCCGCTTGATTTTTGGGGAAGCAAAGGGAGCAACAGGTTTGTCATGAACGTCAGAGCCATCCTGAAAATTCAGTTATCGAATTGGGCAAACAACAGAGCGAGCAAAGTTTGTGGCCAAATTAATTGAATGGACCCTGTCCGCAGGAGAGTCGCAAGGAAACGTTTTGCCACACGAAAGTCTCCATGGAAGCCTTCACCTTTCACCTTTGACAGGACACTTAATTCATCGAGCGAATGAGAAACCGAAAATTTAATTTAATTAGTGGCAGTCAGGCCAGGCAGGCACTTTAAGGCCTCGTTGGGGAGTATAACTTTTATGGCAGCTGTTGAGCAAGGATACGCCGTGTTACGTCCTTTATTCCCGTAATTGCACATTGACTGCACATGTCCTGGTTGCCAACTTCCCGGGTCCATTGTCCTTTTGTTGCCCGCCTGCGAATACCTGGAATACTTGTACTCGACTTGCTCTGACCCTGCGGCCTATTCATATAGTTGAATGAAAATGAGCCAAGTTAGGGGGGAGACCAGAAACAAGGAACTTTCTGCTGTTCTAACGAGGAAACCTTAGCAATCTCCGCTGATGAGTTAAACCATTCATAACTCCCTGCTCATTTACATATATCTGATTTTCCTGCCAAACTTATCCCATTTACTACCCATCTTCACATCCATCAATCAATCAGTCAATTCATTGCGGCTTGGTTAGAAAGTTTATCTGCAAACAAATTGAAAATTTTAATAAAAATTCTTGCGCTAAATTACGCTCAACAATCAAAGCCCCACCTTCGGCTTTTCGGAATTCCCAATCCTCCGTCATTGTCATTGTCCAACTGTTCGCTTAAGTGGTGTTAAGTATTTGAAAATCTCGGCTTCGGTTTTCCGCCCCAGTCACCTCCTTCCATTCTGCTCCTCAGCGCATGCCTTCCGTTTTATTGTTTTACGACAGTTGGCCAAATACTTTGGCTAGCTAAAAGTTTTGCCCTCATGGTCATCCAATTGTCTGTGATTTACGGAGGCTTCTCTAAGGATTCCTCGGGCGGACGTCCAGTCAGTCAGCGGAGCGGAGCGGAACCCACAACAGAAACTGCAGTCCAGCATTTACTGGATATTGATTTATGGCTCCTCAACTGGCCAGACAAATGCGTTCGAAAATCAGAAATACAAAAGTATTCTGTAATGTTGATATATTGAGACTGTAAATAATATTTTAATTCTTTTTTATTCTTGATTAAATATAAAATTAAACTTAAAACTGATTATGAGAGTTAAATTTTCTCGTAACTTTCCACGATTCCTTGAGCTTTCACTTCATTGAGGAACCTTAAACATTTATCCATGGGCGTGACAACACAAAGCGGTTTCTTGCCAGTAAAATAGGCACTGCTGGGTCTGGCATAAGCCACCTGATGCCCATTCAACCAGGAGGTGATCTCGTCCAGACACAGACACTGCCAGGGATTGCCCTCCAAACTAATGTGCCGCAATCCCTTAAGATTTTCCAACGACTTCAAATCCGGCAAGAACGTAAGGCGATTATTGTTGATCTCCAGATGAGTAAGACGCTCAAAGGTGTCCAAGATTTCTCCTTCGATCTCCTCAAGGCGATTCTCTCCGATCGTGAGCCATTGCAGTCGTCGCAGTGGCGCAAACATACGAAGATCAAGGTTAACCAACTTGTTCCTTCTCAGCCTGAGTTCCTGGATAAAAGGCAGAGATGAAAGGGCCAGAGGATGCAGCTCGGCAATGTTGTTGTTGCTCAAATCCAGATAGATAAGATTACGTAGAATCCTATCCCCAAAGACACCCATTCCCAGCTTTATGATATTATTCCTACTTAAATCCAACTTCTCCAACGACGTAAGATTGGCGAATACTTCTTCGGGAAGAATTGATATTTTGTTGCCTTGCAGCTGAAGGGATTGCAAAGAGCTCAGACCCAAAAAAGATCGAGGATGGATCTTATTGATCTGGTTGAGCCACATATTAAGGGTCCTTAGCTTGTTAAGTCTGCAGAAGACCGAATCCTCAAGGACCTTTACATTATTGGAACTATAATCAAGGAGTTCCAATGGCGCAACCTCGCCAGGAGCCATGAAAAGAGTCCGCTTGATGTCATACAAATTGTTGTTGGACACATTTAGGACTCGCAGATTGGGAAGAGCGTAGAATATCCCCATGTCCAGGTACTCCAACCAATTGCTGTGCAGATGCAGTTCCTCCAGCTTCGGCAATCCTCGCAGACGACACCATTGGAACTAGCGGTTAACGAAAGGTTTAATCAAGGTTTTTTAGTATATTTTTATCCACTTACATCTCTCACATTGTTGTTACTTATAGACAGATATCTTAGATTGGCATTCTCACCCAGAGTTATGTTCTCCTGCTCGTTAGTGGTTAGATCTAGAAATCTTAGCTTTTTAAGATTCTTGAAGGCATTGGGTTCTATCTCTGCTATCAGGTTAGTGGAAAAGTTTGCATACTCCAAATTGGCCAATCCACTCAACATTTTAGCAGTGATAAGCTGTATATCATTGTAGCTCACATCTATATTGATAAGTTGAGATTGGTTCGGAAAGTGTTTCGCCTGCATCTCCTCCAACTGGCAATGGGTTATATTAAGCTCCTGCAGGGCTTTAAAGTCGCTTAGACCTCTATCACCCATAGTCAGGCCACCGGATTCAGATAGATCCAAGTGCAAGAGTCTCGAGAGACCAGGTAAATCCTTACTTTCTGCATTTTCAATGCCTGTGTGCTCATTCACTACCTTCACGCTTCGCCAATTTTCCCCGACATATCGATTCAGTTGCTCAAAGCTCTCGATTTCCCGACAGAGGTGGCTTCCCTTTCCCAGATCCTCGCATTCCTGCAGATCCTTTCCAAGCACTCCAGATAGAAGCAAAGCGATCAGAACTCGCATCGCCTGCATTTTTGCAACTAAACTGAACCTTAGCTTCTGCCAAGTGCAATGCCTTAATCTGTGTTTATTTTTAATCAAAGAAAACTCGTTTCAGTTCTCTTGAGGAGCCGGTTTCCAGATCCATTGACCAAAATCAGCTGTTGAGTTGGTGATGCTTCCAGTTCAGTCGCCAACAACTTTTTGTCAACAAATGGTAAGGCAAATATTTAATATTTGCTTTTCTAAAATTTATTTGCAAGGAATAGATATCAGAGTTGTAAGTTAAACAGCTCAGAAGGGGGTTCATCAGCTTGAAAACTCAGGTAAACTAAAACCGTTGTCTGAGTTTAGCTTAGATGATTGAAAAACCGGTCTCAGTTTCTCAGCCGGCAACTGAGTCACAAACTCAGACAATCTACAATCAGTTTCTCTTTGCAATCTGAGCTGAGAAGTGCTGATTCTGTGTAGAATTTGTTATTTCATGAGTTTGGATCTTAAAAAATCTTAGCTAACACAATTTTAACTAATAAATATTACTTAACATGTCGCCGAGAAACGAGGTATATATATGTTATTCATAGTAAATATAAAGATCATCTTTAACCAACATATACTTTCTAGCGCAACACTCCCTGGAAAAAATCAGACGTTCTGCTTCTGCTAGATCTGTACGAGTCAGAGCCCGTTCTATATGACAACACATTGCTGCTATACAAGAGCCAATCATGCCGGCAGGATGCCCTCGAAAGAATTGCCAAGCATTTTCCAAACAAGACAGTGACTGATATCAAAACTAAAATTGGAAATCTGCGCGGACAGTTCTCAAACGAGAAAATCAAACTGAAAAGGGCCAAGAAAACTAACGATCTCACGTACAGCCCATATTGGTTTAGCAAAATACGGTTTTTGGATAGCTTTCTAAAGACCCGTTCAAGTTCATCGACATTTTCGGTTTGTATTTAAATATTACCTTACTTATTTACAATTATATTTTAGTTATTTTCTGTAGCTTAGTACGGATGAAATAATTATTCAGGCAGATCTCCCTTCAAAGAAGACCAAGCTGGACAAGGACGGTTCTTTAAAAACGGACTCTTTACAAACAGACTTAGCCTTACGAACTAATCAAAATCTAAGAAACAATCAAAAAGATGGTATCAATCATGCTGGTAAATACACACCATCTATCGATGCCTTTGGGGAGTTTGTGAAATCAATCGCAGCTCAAGTTCCCGAGGATAAACAAGACGAATTCATTCAAAAATCTATAACTTTCCTGTTTGCCCAAAAAAGGGTACTAAAATAAGCAAGCTGGACTTAAATGGCCAACAGGTCGACCTTCTAATTAATTAATGTTCAATAACAATTCGGATTTAAAGATCAAATACATTTCTTTATGATTTATTCAACCATCATAGTAATACATAAAAGAAAACATAAATTTCTTCGGTAGTTATAGTAAGGGTATATATAAATTCCTGACAGCTTAACAATATACTCTGGTATATATATGTTTCTATGTATAAGACACTCAAAATACAGTTTAAAGTACTTGGTTTAATAACGAGTAGCTCGTTAGTTAGTTTTCCTTCAATGTGCATCGTTAAATCTTCATGAATAAAGCTGATTTTTCGTTAAATATGTATATCGTTGATGTGGCGAAATAGCAAAAATGCTCATAACTTAAAGATAATTTAATATTCTGGCAATGTCCAGTAGAAGGAAGCCTGAGTTAAATAGGTTTCAGTTTCAATATCAAAATTAACAAGGAGTTTCATTATTACGAATTCATTTTCGTCAACAAGCATTTGGTACACAAGACTAGTACGCGACAGTTCACTGGGAAGATATCTGGATAAAGCGGCAACTCAAAAAATAATGTTCCTTCTTTTTTAATCGTCACAATCGCAATCAGGGCAATCGCAATCTGCGCAATCGCAATCAGCGCAACACTCGGCCGCATGGCATAAACAGTCGCAGAACAAGCCACCACCTGATTCCTATAGCATTCCTGGTCTATCGGTCTCTTGGTTTCCAGACTTCTCAAAGAACATGGCATCCTGAGGGGCAAAAAATGAAATAAACAAAATTAGTCTGAGTACCATACACGTTTAAAGGTCTTAAAGCTCGGCTAGCCTACTAAAAACTAAGCTGGAGGATTTGATGGGCTGGGGGATTCACATTACCTCAGCACCAACGAAATCTGCGCTGCAAACGTCGCAACAGCTTGAACCGATAGAAATGAACACTATACAACTGATTGGCCGAGGCCAACGATGGGTTATTAGGTAAATCTAATTTAAAATATATCACTTACAATCAGGAATGTGGCGCCCAGCAGAACGGCCTTCATGCGCACGTCCAAGTCCAGTGGGAAACTGATGCCAAAGAAATCCGCATCCGTGAAAATTTCACGAGCCAGGCCGGACCACTGCTTCGAGATCTTGCCGACCTTCTCGCCAGTGAGCGATACCACCTAAAGAACAAATATTAAAGTTAATATCATATAGTAATTAAGGTATATATCAATCATACATTAAATTCAACGTCGCCGCACAGCGAGAAGGTGCAGAAGGGTCCCTCGATGCGCATGACTGTGTCGCCCAGATGATTGAGAATTCGGAAGGATGGCGAGCAGATGGACCACTCCTGTTCGATGGTGCCAATGACATTGCCTGGCGGTGCCGAGACTTCGATGCTCTGCAGACAGCAAGGAAACAGACAAGAGGAGCAGGCCAATGGACGGTGCATGTGGATCACCTCCTGCTGGAAGTTATCGAAGACCCGCATGTCAAAGGGACGCGAAGGTCCACAGCAATTGCGCGTACAGCAGTCGTTGTCCTCCGCCGCGAAATATACCTTCTGACCCAAAGCATTCTTGATCGTGAACTTGTTGTTGGTCTCGAAACCGGTAAAGGCCTCGAGCAGTTCGACCTTCTGCTTAACTAAAAGCTGGTCGATAGTCGTAAGGTACTCCAATCCGCGCGGACAATTCGGAATTCCGGTAGGTATACTCATCCAGTCGCCTGCAAAAAGTATCAGGTATTAGTCCAATGTACTAAAGTTTCTTGTATAAACTTAGAATAAACTTGTGGTGGAATGTCATCTTCTATTAGACTTCTCATAATCTTGGCGGGCAAATTGAATTAGTGGGCACACAAAAGGGCATCTTGTTCAGCTCGTTCAGTTTGCCAGTGTGTCAATTGGTCAATGTCACCGACACAATTGCTCGGCCTTCCTAATTGGAGGCATCACAATGGAGCAGACCTCTCCACAAATACCCCATAGATAACCCTCTACCTCAGGCATCATGGTTCTTGTACCTAATCTGTGCTATTATGATATACTTTATCACGGGCTCTAAAGATAAACGTAGTAATAAATCTTTGATTTCACAATGTAAGGAAACCTTGAAAAGATTTACATAATTGAGATATTTTTAGGTAGATGGGATTTAAGTTTTTTGCACCTAACTACAGTAGATAAACGAGTAGATATCTTATCTGGCTACTTAAGAAAATGTGCTGCGATACTGACCTATTATTATAAAGTCCTCTTAAAAATATCATCTAGAAAGCCCTCCCATTTCTTATCCTGATTTTTAATAATCTTCTGGGTAATGAAATGACTCCTAAAGAGTATTTTCACAGTCTTGTCAAGACCACAATTGTGACCTCCTCTCACCTCCTGTCCTCGTCGCTAATGTAGAACTCGTAGCCCTTTCGCTTGGCCGACTTATTTAGCCGCATGGTGTGTCTGAGCTTCTTGGGCAACGGTTTGTTGGCCTCCCGGCGAACGAGTTGCCTCAGAGTCTGGGATCTTGAGCAGATCTGGTTGTACTGGCTATACAGCGAGTGCCAGATGAAACGCAGGACTTTTGAGCCACTCTTTACACCTCTGGAACTACTATCCTCCGAGTTTCCACGATTTTCACCACTCAGATCCAAAGTGGAAACACAACTTGTTGGATTTTCAGTGGACATTTTCTAGACTGTGGCACGACCGACTGCTCTGCTGCACAGAGATGAACTAACTGCTCGTCTGGGGGCAAAATCAACGCCATCCATGGCGACGGGCGTTTTAAATGCCGCTTTGTATTATTTTATTGGTTCAATTAAGGCAGACAACGCTCCGCTTGCCGATAAGCTCGAAGAGATCTGACAGGGTTTTCTGTGCATTTCGGACGGATCCGACGCACGTGTAAACAAAACAACAAAGATAACAACCAACTAGGTCTAAAAACCTCGAAATCTCTAACACTCTTCAAAGTGACTACGCAAATGTTTGCATCGCACTTTGCATTTGGGGCACCCTTGGTCCTCCACCCTCTATCTCTGATGATTGGTTCAATGGTTTCAACCTGAAAGAATCTCAAGACAACTGATTGGACATTATCTCACTTAGCAGGGCAATGACACGTTGGGCATACAAGATGCGCTTTTGTTTTGATTCAGCGGCCTACGTAGTATGATTATATAAGAAGTAAAGTAAGATATGACAATCAAAGTAATTCAAAGAGGGAAGCAAAAACCGATAATAGCTTGGGGTCATAAAACCTACGCCTTGAATTTGTTATTTGTTATACTTTAAAGAGTTTTGATAAGAACATTTCGTGGAATATGGTTTGGAATTGGTGAAACATAAATTTTTGAAATAACTACATACATGTATACAGTGAAACTTCAATAAGCAGTACTATCAACTCAAATTCTCCATGAAAAGTTGTCAAATCTTTGGTTCAATATGGTTTCTGTACAAACCTAACTAATTCCTACAGATAAAAGCTGTGATAGTGATTCCAGCTATCGGAGTTTGACTCTAATCTGGCAATTGAAACTTATGAAATCGAGAATAATATGTATAATATTCTTATCATATGTTTGTTTAAAAACTTGGGCCATATTGTTTTATACTTCACGGGTGCGTTCAATACTTGCCTCCTGGTCCGCCCTGTGGCACTGCCGGACCCATTCCTGGACCCATTCCCGGCTGCGTGACGATGGGCTGTTGCGGCTGACCCGGTGGATATCCTCCGAAGGCGTGTCCAGGTCCTGCTGGTCCTGCTGGCCCAGGGGGATATCCTCCAAAAGCCTGTGGCGGTGGGGCACCTCCTCCATAAGGTGTCTGACCACCTGGACCACCCACATAAGGTGGTTGGCCTCCTGGACCACCCACATACGGTGGTTGTCCGGCTCCATAAGGCGGTGTCTCTCCGTATGGCGGCATCTGGGGAACTGGAGCGTAACCGGCTTGCTGAGGACCTGGAGTGAAGCCCTGAAACGATCGAGAGTTGATCGACGAATGAGTTGAGAACATTTATTGAGGGGCGGTAATTGTGGTAAGTTTTTTGTTCTGTGACGTGGATTCTAAGTGCTGTTCTTATCGCTAATTCAGCTCCCAAGTGGTTTTTATATTTATTTACAGCGATGTTTATAGAAACACACTTTTATATGTTCTCTGGGATGTTTTATCCTTCTAAAGCAACAATTGAAATATACAAGGAACTATTCATAAATATATATATATATGTATATATACGAATATTTTGCCTCTATATTTGTTTTTTGAACCTTAGCTTGAACTTGCAGGAAAAAAAGAGTTTTTACATTTTTGTAATTATCTTTGAATACCGAAAACTTTTCTATCTTCCAATATTCATAAGATGAGCTCATTTCTTTAAAATACATTTTCATATCATGGATATACTGATTCTTATAGAGAGTTCTGCGACTTAAAAAGGGGAAAACCTTTTGGACTGCTATGTAAATGTAACTCATACAAGCTGATGAGTAATGTGCAAACTTTACAAAACCAAAAGCCCTGATATTTCCCTGTTTAATACCTAAGATTAACATAGCAAATCTGCCTCATTGCTTGATGATTAAAGGGTATACAAATATATTACTTCAAATATTTAATATTTATCAAGAGTCCCGGTTTCTACTTGTTTATCCAGTCTGCAGTTCTGGTTTTTTAAAAAAAAAAAATAAATGCAATTATTTGGTAAAAAACAGATTTTTTTGTTTATATATCCACTGAATCGCGTGCCTATCTTATAGATCTCTCTCAATATGTGATTTGTGTTTATAAATAAGCAAGACCAATTGGCATGACGTCATTGTTGTATCGTGTGTTTAAACAAGTGGCACCCCTACAACACTGCCACCCCTCCAACACCCACCTACCACACATACTTGCATACATGCATACATATTTAAATGTCTGAAAGAAGAAACATTTTTGGAACTCACGTAATTCATGGGCGGCGGCGGTTGTTGACCAGGGACGGGAGGATAAGGAGCGGTATGGACGCCACTGGGCGGTGGATAGCCAAATCCCTCGGCGGGTGGAGCATTCGGTTGATATCCGGAACCAAAACCAGGTGGGGCGTAACCGCCCTGATTAACGTTGCTCTTCATTTTGTGGGATTTTCTTGGGTTTTCTGACTTTTTCCGCTCTTTTTCTTCTTCGGCTCGGCTTGTGCTGCGTTGTTGTTGCACTGGAGCACTGGAATTATCGCGGTCACGCCCCCAACGAAAGCGCAACAATGCTGTTTTTGTTTTGGACGCACTTTACCGGGGAAGTAAAATTCACAAATTCCATTTGCTGATATCGATTCACGATAGGCAGAGGCTGCCTATCTATCGATGCTTAAGTAAGACCAGAGAGCAAAATTAAAAATACCATAAAAATTTGTTTAGGTTAAAATTTGTTATTTATTACGGACATGCCTTAGAATTTATAAACAATTATATTTTAATATGAATACCACTATTTATTATTAGGTATTCGATTTATGTAATATTTATTGTATGTATATTGTATCAAGATAAGGTATCGTGAACTAGACGACATTCAGATGGCGCTATTAATAATTTATCTAGTTTACCAACCTTTTCTAATGAATATACTATACAGTGCAGATTGTGTAGATAGTTGAGACACCCTCCATAAGCTGTGACACAAGCCTCGTACTTAGACTAAAAGATTAGTGCAGTCTAATTTGAAATGGATATTTGGCGCCTAATTTGAAATCCGTTTTATATAAAATAACGTTTTTTCATAATACTTTTGCTTTGGTGGACAGCCTGTAATGCAGTATCAGATCTATTCAAACTTACTTTAGAATAGTTTATTTTGTTATATATAATTATCTTAGATAATGTTTCCATTAACATTATCTAACAAAAGCTAGCTCATCTATAAGACTCCTAGTTACTGACGTGCTGTACTGGCTGATAAGTTCTTACAGTTAAGTATTACAAAAAATTGGTTTTTGATATAATATAATTAGTTTAAAATATTATTTTCCGTTTAAAGTATATAGCTGGCTTGAGGCAATTTTCAATTTGGTGGTTTCTTCATCGATTTCTGTATTTAATAAATATTTTTTATGACTTTTTTTTTAACTGATCAAACCTTTTATGAATATGTCGTTAAAATGATTTTACAATTTTAAATATTTTAATTCTACTCAATTTAAAAACAATATTAAATAAAAACAAATCTTAAAAAACTGAAAAAAATCCATTTTGTATGCCACACTAACACAGGCAAACACAAACACACACACACAACTACCATTCAAACACAGCCCACAATTTTTTCTAATGCGCAAATTTGCATTGTGAGTGTGCGCCTCTTCCCTTACGCTTACTTACAGGGTGCGACAGAGAGGTCAGTCGAGGGTGGGAGGGAGAGAGGCATAGAGAGGGCGGCGTAGTTAGCGCGCATAAAAAATGGCGGTTTCCGACGCAAGTAAAACGCAAAAAACAAATGAGAAAAAAATGTGAGATCAGAAAAAAATAACCGAGGGCAGGGTGAAGAATTGCCATTGGCGCGACAGAGACAGACTGCGGCAAATGTTGGAACGGAAAAAAACGGTAAAAACTGTGTATATAGAAAAAAACTGCGAGCAGAATTTCCACCCCATGGTCATGGACAGCCAGCAGACGTCCCTCACTCACTCACTCACACACACACACACCACTGTAATTACCCATACAAATGCATCGAGAAATGGAGGAATCGTCATCAACATTATTGTGAGGGGGGGTTGGGGGTGAGGTGGACCACCCACGCACAGGGGAAAAATTCGAATTTTGTTCTTGATTTTGTTATATCATTATAATAAGGAGATGTATGATATTTATGTTTAAAATAAGATAAATTTTAATTTAGTTTTAAGGATACTTTTTTTAGTATTTTACACATTTATCTGCTTTAATTTTACATTTTTACTACACTAAAGATTATGTTATACAGTAAATATCAGGTTTTTATGATCACAAATAACAGAAAAAGGATAACTTATCATAAAAAACGCTTTTAAATTGATTTACCATATATAAATTTTGGCTTTTTTTTAATCATAACAACCATTAATATTCTTAACAGATTATAAAAATTACTATAAAATCATTCAAAATAAATTTAGGATTGCAGATTGCAGAGATGAATAATCAAGACCCCTAAAATAAGTTTAACCCTCAAACATTTATAGTTTCTTTCTCTGCAGGGCGTATTCAATGGACTTAGAGGAGGGCCGGGGGGAAGGACTCATCAGGGTCAGGGAAGAAAGCTAGAAATGAGCTCTTAATGCGCCATATAACGCGATATTTGCGCTTGTGTGGGTGAGTTTAGCACATTCAATTAGTTGACTTTGCAATGGCAGCAAATGCAGAATGCGAAAATAAAACAACCAACGTAGAATGGGAACAGAGGAAATGGAAAATGGGAAATGGAAAATAAGAATGGGAACCAGAACATATTTGCGGTTGGCAACCGACCAAAGGCACAAAAGCTTGGCTCAGCAGCGCCGCAGCAATTGTTGCTAAGCCAGCCCCCTTATTCTCTCCTGCTCCTCCCCCTACTCCTCCCTATTAAGCCCCACCCATGACCTTTGGCAGGGCCGCCGGTGAACGGTTCAGTGCAGGAGAGGCCCTCAAAAAATCAGGCAAGCGGCAAGCAGCGAGCATAATGCAATGGTAAACAGCCATGCGGGCCTCTACACGGCTAGAAAATATTAAAAAATGTAATAAAATAAATAAGAAAAGAAATAGCAAGGTTTAAGAAGGAAACTTTGAAGAAAATATGTGATTTTTGTTATAAAAACTAAACATGATTATTATAATATTTTCCACAGTGTAGTCAAACCCCTTCAAAGTCCTGGATCGCATTTCGTTTGAGCCTTGCAAAGCGCCTCATTAGCCGTTGCTTCGTCCTTAAAGCTGCTGCCGGCTTTAGCGAACTTTCTGTCCGACTATCGCAAAGTCAATCTAATTTATGGCCCTGGGTTTTAGCAAGAAATCGAAAGCAGCCAAAAGGAGCGGAGCCTGCGACCATAAATCAAGTTTCAGAGATGCGATCAAGTGGACTTCTAATGTTCCGATCGATCAAAGTTCCTTTTGCCACGCGGCCAAAAATAACAAACAGCTTTGCAGCTGCTCGAGAGGATCCAAAAGCCAATCAATCCGTCATTGCTGAAAAATAATAAATATAGGAAAGGGAGGATGAAATGAGGTTAATATAAGTAAGAAATATTCAGTATTTGATATTAGAGTTCAGATCTAGATTCTTACTTTCCTTAGAAATATATTTTAAGAAGTAAAAATCAAACGTACCAGCATTTTAGGTGGAATAACTTTAACTTAAAACGAAAAGGAAGTCATTGACTCCATCACAAGCTAGTAAGTCCCACTACTTTAGATCCTCCAATAATCAACAAACAACATGCATATATATCTTCCAAAATCCCGCAAATCTTGACCGTTTAACCCAATCCACATTGCGCCTGGTCAGTAAAGCGTGGGAACACACACATAACCCCAACTCGATGGCAAAAATGAATCCGAAACATAAAAAATGTGTCAATGCCGGTCGAAAGGGGGAATTGCAACTGCCACTGCATTTGGTCAATGGCCAACTGGCCACTGGCCACTGGCCATTGGCCATTGGCCGTCCTTTTGGCCAGCTGCATCATCATCATCATCATCGAGTACACATGTGCATATGCCAAATGCAATCACGATGTCGCGATTTCCAAAACGAATGACAGGAAGTGCCGAGCCACAGATACAAAAAGAGTTGAACAGAAAAACGAGATACAGCCAAAAGAGCTAAGAGCTAGGAGGAGGGGGAAAGTCATACACCTGGCTCAAAGCACTTCACCTTGCGTGGGTCAGTTACCAAAGTTCACAGGCGGAAGGGCCAAAAAGGGTGAAAGTGTTTCCTAGCTAATTGCTTAATTACGATCCACGGACAAGAAGGTCAGGAGAAACTGGGTCAGAAAAGCCGGTCGGCCAAAGGGTTGTGCGGCGAAATCTTAATGAGTTTTCCACTCCCTTCCCTTTCGGAATGTTTTCCAATTAAAAGCACAATGACCCTTTTTCCCTTGGCCCTATGCTAATGAGCCCGCCACGCACTTTGCTTTTAGCCCAAGGATAACCGGGCGAAATTAATTACCAAGTGTTGAACTTGAACTTGAGCCGTTGTCTGGCCGCTTTTAAAGCTGGCTAAAAAATCAATAAAGAGATTTTTAGCGGCCAGAAAGGAAAGGGTTGTGCAGGGTGGACCTTGTCTGGTCGCCACATGTCATGGCCAAAGATTTAAATCAGAACCGACAGACGGGCTATGTACGAGTGTGTGTGTGTGTGTTTTTGTCCGATTTTTCTTCCCCTTTTTTTTCCACCGTTGAACCCTTTTCTGCGGCGCTTTTTGTCCTGGCCGAGTGGCTCAACCCTTTTATTTGTGTTATATTTTTGGCAGGACGCTGGGCAGGACTTTGACAGGATGCTGGTCGCTGGCACACGGTAATTGCTTATTTAAGCGCGCGCCTTTATCCTTCAACGGGATGCCGGGATATGCAAACAGGGGCAGGGCAGCGCCGAGGAGCGGAAAATAAATTTGAAATAAGCAAGAGAGATGCGAAACAAAGGCCAAGTAAATGCCCCGTGTAATTACTGGAACAGGGAGGGGATGGGCAGTGCGGTGCGGGGCAGCTGTCTAGCCGGACCAGGACCATCCAAGGAGTATCCTGAATTCAGGATTCAGTATTCAGGAGCATCCCGAAATGAACTGCAAATCAAGGGAGGGCAACGCGGAAAGTTAGAGGGTACGAGGCTAACCACGGGTCACCGTGCATGCATATTAAAAGTGTTTTTGGAACGAATTTTAGGCTGCCTGCTTGATTGAGGATTGAGGTAGAGGGATACACTTTAAAAAACTTATAGAAGTAATGTAAATAAAGCTTAAAAGAGGTTAAAAAAACATCATGACAGCCAAAGTCTGATTTCTTTTCATTACAAAACCTTTTCCATGAAACTGAAAATATAAAATATTCGAGCTGCCTGGGTTATGTTAACTACATTTTCCATTTCTTCAACAACTTTTTAAACTTCCCTCAACAAAAATCTAATAAAATGCTTATAAAATCAACATTAATGAAGACTTTTCCTCCAGTGTAGCCCAAAAAAGAGTTAAGGCCCACTCGCGGGCAGCTTTCGATGTGCAGTGAAGTGCGAGGTCCCTTTTCTCACTCCTCCCTTCGAAATCTAGCAGCTGTCGCTATCTAGTCTGGCCTATCGCCATCTCGAAATCTGGAACGGGTTAAGGGTCAACCCGGCTC